ATGCATATGAAGTTGAAATTACCATGGCATATGTTGTTAAGTACCGTGGAGTCGGTTCCGACTTATAGTGACCCTGCACAGGGTTGCTGAGGCTGCAAATCTTTATGGGAGCAGAAAGCCTCATCTTTCTCCCACGGAGCAGCTGGTAGTTTCAAACTGCTGACCTTGAGGTTTGCAGCCTGATTTGTAACCACTATGCTACCAGAGCTCCTACATGGCGTATGGAACCACATCTATTTATATGGTGTTGTATGGTGTGGATTCGGACTCATGATGACTCCATGTGTTGTCAGTGTTGAACTGGGCTGCACAGTTTACAATGGCTTTTTACCCCCTACAGAGAAATAGATCACTAGGCTTTCTTGTGAGGTACTTCTGGGTGACCTTGAACCTCCTCCAACCTTCTGGTTAGCAATGAGCACACTAGCCACTTGCATTACCCAGGGACTCCCGTTATTTAAAAGGACGAGAAAAAAAGTGTAGATTAAGTGGCATCCTCTGATCCTTGTCATCAGGCTATGAACAGGCTGTGCTGAGGTAGAATTTTATATATTCATTTTTGGTGAATTGCTCTCTTCTTGGGCAACTACTGCAGCAAAGCATTTAAACTCTGCAATTGGTAAGTTGTTTTAAGTGCTGTGGAGTTGGTTCTGACTTACAGTGACTCTGAATAGGGTTTCTGAGGTTGTAAATCTTTGTAGGAGCAGAAAGCCTCATCTTTCTCCTGCAGAGCAGCTGGTGGGCTTGAACCGCTGACCCTGTGGCTTGCAGTTCAGTGCTTATTGTACAGTCACTTAGCTGTTAAGTAGACTTGGTTTATTTGTGGTTGACCACATGCGAGGCACAAGGAGCTCTGGTAGTGTAGTGATTACAAATCGGGCTGAAAACCTCAAGGTCAACAGTTCGAAACTACCAGCTGTTCTGTGGGTGGAAGATGAGGCTTTCTGCTCCCATAAAGATTTACAGCCTCGGAAACCCTGTGCAGGGTCACTATGAGTTGGAACTAATTCCATGGCACACTATCACCACCGCTACCACATGCTAGGCACAGGAGTCCCGGTGGGGTGCTGTGGGTTAATGTGCTGGAGACTGCAAAGTTGGTTTGAACTGAAAGGTTGGTGGTTCAAGCTCACCAGCTGCTCCTTGGAAACCCTCTACAGGGATGCTATGGGTCAGAACCAACTCGATGGCACTTAACAACAACATGGTAGGCACAGGCTATGCACATACTGCAGGATGACTAATAGATCACACAAGTGTCTCTAGCCTTTAGTTCAGTGTGCTTTTCTTTGACTAAAAATCTTAGGAAAATGGATCCACTCAGCTGTGATTTTTCCCAAGACCTTGCACTGGGCTAGGGAAAGATAAACAATAACAAAGAAACCTAAGAACATCTCTAAAGTTTCATTCAGGCAGCAATGTAGGAGAGAAAGACCTAAAAGAACTGCTTAAAGTTGTTTAAAACACTTAATGTTTTCCAGTTTTAAAATCCAAATCATTAAGAGACAGTTTAGGCATTGTGAAAGGGTCTAGTTGGTTAGTATTACAATAAACACAAACTGGCCTTCCCCCCCACCCCCCATTCTGTGTTGATCTTTTGTCCCTCCAGATACTCCAATTTCAAAACTTACCTTTTTCTTTATAAACCATCCATTGTTCTATTAATCAGCCTCCCAAGGTCCTCATGAATAGGGTCCCTTAAGGACTCAGGAGTTCCTTTCTCTAGTGGCAATCCGGGGCTGAGAAAGCCTACAGTGAGCTCCAAGATGCCTAGTGGCTGCCAGCTGGGCGCAGATGGCTATGAATGGGGCACCAAAAGCATTTTCTTGGGCTACAGTCCTTTAAGTGTGAGAACTGTACAGAGTAACACAGACCCCTCCCCTGAGCCTCTCAGAGGGGAAAAACTGCTTGTATTCCCAAGGACACACAGACAGGGTGGGCATCACAGAACATAGGAAAGACAAGAACTACGGATTTCATTTCAATTCAAGTGAGCACGCTGTGTCTAGGAAACAATGGCCCAAACAATGGCCGCAGATGGGCGCTCAAACCTCTAGTTGATTTTACATCCCCCCCACCCCCCACCCCCCGGCCGCGCCTCAATGGATTAAATACAAAGGACAAACAGGACAAATTTAGACTTTTGGGATTTTGTTTTCATAAAAAAGCAGCACTCTCCTTCCCACATCACCCACAGAGTCCTCCACATTCCAGTCCTCACCAGCAAGAGGCTGTATGGACCTCCAGAAAGTTCCAGGTCAAGTGCAAAGCTGCTATGCATTGGAGCAGACAACGCTTCTTCTAGGTTAGGAGAAAACTCCAGACGAACTGCTATCTATTAGAGACTGGTTTTGTTCGTTCTGTTTTTTAAATTGGAAAAAAAGCACAACATTACAGAGGGGAAAAATACCCCAGCAAACAAACAAACAACTTGTGTTGGTGGGTACTGTAAATAGAACCAATGATAGTTTGAGTGGTTCTTGGCTGCCAACAGAAAGGCTGTCAGTTCAAGTTCATCTAGAGGTAACTCAGAAGAAAGGCCTGGTGATTGACATTAGGAAAAACCAGCTACTGAACACCCTATGGAGTTACAGTTCTACTCTGACACACCTGGTTCACCATGAGTCAGAGCTGACTTGATGCAACAGAAACTCAGAGTGTTTGACTGTAGTAAACAAGCCCTCTACAAGACTTCTTACCAACAGCAGACTTCCTTTTTTTAACTCTTGGTCCTGAAGACAGCAAGTGCTCTTATTCAGTTATAACTTCTTTAAAGACTCTTTAATTGTAGAACATTCTGTGACCAGAAAGATTTACTCCCTTTAAGCTTAATCATGTAATTGGTTGTCTTTTCCCAACATAGTTCTAAACCTTGAATACTGTAATTTAAAAAATAATTAGTTGGAACAACATAATTTAGTTGTAGTCTGCCCTTACTTAACCTGAAAGGTATTTTTTATAAACAGTTATTCCTCCCCTAAGTCGATACCATGGAAACAGAAGGCTGTATTTTTGTTATGATAAAATATGTGTCCAAATAATTATACACAAATGTGACGGCACGGCTAATATTATAGTTTGGAAATGAACTGTGAAACACATGTCTATATTTAACCACCCAATAAAATGCCTCCTGGAACAGGTTTGTTCTCTTGGAGTCATAATGACAATGACAATGTTAATGACCCAAATACCACAGGTATCTCCAACGAATAAGGGGAATGCCAATTTGTTCATTTAGTCTTTAATGGTATTTAGTTATCGTGTTTATCTAAAAAGGAGCCCCAGTAATGCAGTGGTTAAATGCTTGGCTGCTAAGCAGAAGAAGGTCTAAGATTCAAACCTGCTTGTGGCTCCAGGTGAGAAAGATGTGGAAGTCTGCTTCCGTAAAGATGTACAGCCTCGAAAACCCAATGTGCAGTTCTACTCTGTCCTGTGAGTCAGTCACTATGAGCTGACTTGATGGCCAAGGATATGCTTTGTTGTTGTTGTTGAGTGCCATCAAGTCGACTCCAACCCATAGCGACCATGTATAGGTTTCCGAGGAGCAGCTGGTGAGCTTGAATGGCTGACTTTGCAGTTCAAACGGCTTCGCAGTCTGGCATATTAACCCACAGCGCCACACCAGGAAGGTAATCTAAACAGTAAATACCTGCTTTTTCCTTTCCATTTTGAAAAAAACTCAAATACATCTGGGGGTTTCTACCTCTCCTATTTTCCCCTGGTACCCTATATAAGCCACTCTACTATGCAGGATGTTCCTGTTAGGTACCCTTAAGTTGGTTCCGATGCAGAGCAACCCTATGCTCAACAGAACAAAACACTGTCTGGTCCTACACCATCCTCACAATTGTTAAGTTTGGGTCCACTGCTGCTGTCAGTGTGTCAATCCATCTCTTTGGGGATTCTTTCTCTTTTTCACTGACTTTCATCTTACCAAGAATGATGTGCTTCTCTAGGAACTGATTTCTTCCTGACAACATGTCTAAAATACGGGAGATGAAGTCTCGCCATCCTCATTCTTGGATTATTTTCTGAACATAATTGTTGCCGTTAAGTGTTGTGTAGTCAATTTTGACTCATAGCGACCCTGAATAGGGTTTCTAAGGCTTTTAATCTTTTTTTTGTGGAGTAGAATTCCTCATCTTTCTCTGGTGGAGTGGCTGCTGGAACTTGCTCAGCATAATTGTTGTTGTTGTTGTTGTTGTTAAGTGCCGTCGAGTCAGATCTGACCATAGTGAATTCTTGATGGCTTCAGAAAAGCTGTTGTGAACAATTGAGCTGTTTTCATTTTTTATCCGGTCATAATACTTTTTTTTTAATTAAAAAAATTCATATTAGGTTTATTGTTACCACTCTTCCATGGTTCGAAAGGCACTGCTATTTGCTCTAAACTTGTTTAAGTTTCATGACGATCTTTAAAGTGCATCGTGGCCAGCTGCCCCACTGAACATTGCTCAGTCTGGAACTTGGGAATATTCAACATCTTCTGCTCTCTAAAGGTGCCAGTCCTTTTGCGAGGCCCTATTACCTGTCACCCTCACCGGCAGAACACCTGAATTTTGACTTTGCCACTTGCTTCCAATCAATAACATCCCTCTGCCTTCATTTCCCATTTGTCAAATGCTTAATAACAACAGTACCTTAGGTATCAGTTACTATGAGGACTACATGAGGTAATAAATACCAAATTCATGGAACAGTATCTAACATACTGTAACCAAAAGACCAAACCTATTATCACCAAGTTGAGTTCCAATGTATGGCAACCCCAAGTGTTACAGAGCAGGACTGCTCCATGGACGCAGACCACCGTGGTGACACTCATCAAAAAAAGATGGGTTTGAAATGCCAAGCTTTAGGTTATCGCTAGAACATCAGCCGTTTGCATTACCCATGGTCAAGGGACCTAAGCAAACAGCAGACCCTCAAAAATCAAAACAACAAAAAAAAAGCTAGCTATACATATTACTTAATGCTACAGGGCCATGCATATGTAAAAATATGGTAAATTAGAATTTGATCTGAAACGAATGGCAGAGTTATTAAAGACCAACAAGTGATGGTTTTAAATTTTGAATTAAACCATTTGTATTCTAAAACACACAAAAATCTGTACCAATTAAATACAATAAAATTGAAAAAGGATATAAATTACAGCTTTTTTTTCTTTCTTTAAACAGACAATAGTAAAATACTACAGTCAGCTCACTATACACAAAAATTATGAACAGCAGCTTTTCATTAAGGTCTCCAATGTCTTCCTCACTGATGCTAGGAACTTCCAGGTAAAAGGTACAGCAAACTGTACTCCCGCTCGCTCGCACGATACATTTTATAGCTGTACACCCACAATTGTACAGGCATCTACAGAACACATACAGAAAGTACTTGTGTCATAAAGTCCACACACATAATCCTCCCACATCACCATCAGTAGGAGAATTTTACAAATGAAGCCATGGACAGCAGGGCAGGGTCAACTATAGTCATTATCTCCTGCAGACACAACTAAGTATACACCCGTGAAGAGCTCAACCCATCTCCTCCCACATTGTCTAGAATTCAGTAAAAATAACAACAATGGCAGAACCACACCACACCATTTTACTAACCCCAAACAAAAAACACGCAAAAAGTCCCCAAATCAATACCCTACCCCCTTCCCACCCAACTCTTGGTATGTCTTTTTGTTTTCTTACAGTAATACTGTTCTCTGCATTCTACCTGCCTGGCTGGGCTGCACCAATGTACTGAGAGATACAGGAAGGGGAGCCCCAGGCATTGTCAAAAGGTATAATACAAGGTCAAGTCAGCAGGTGGCAGCCAGGTGGAAGACCAAAGAATATAATTGTGAAATTTTTCAGTGTGCTTATGAAACAGAGGACAGAGAACGGCAGCGCGTGGCTCAGTAGCCAAGCGAAGTATGGCACCAAACTTGCAGTCAAACATTTATGTACACACATAAAAAAACAAGAGTGGACACCAAAAACGTTCAGTCTTATGTAAGTTCTTTGGTTATAAAGAACAGCATTCTGTAACCTTTTCTGCAAAGAGGGAGTGCAACCTCATTCTTATGCAATAGAATATTATCCATCTGTTTGCATGTAAGAGATTGCCCATGTTGGTTTGTAACAAAGTCCAGTACCTTATAATTTTCTATAATTCACCTTTACCTGCATTTTAGTGTGCAGCCATGTCTGTCTCCAGACAGACAAACTATAGATACACATTTCATATACATTATATATATTATTTATATATATAAAAAATTAGAGTACTAAACTCCAGAGTCTACAGTAAGAATTGATTAAAGTCGTAGAAGAATAAAGACTACTCGTTCAAATATGTGGAGGTTTCTACACAGTAGGGGTGTGTAGGAAGTGCAAACAAAAATACTGCCAATGAATCCAGGATTTTCGGTTCTCTTGCTTTCTGGAAAAAGCACAGGCTGTCGATTCACCAAGTGACAAAGTGCCACTTGCCCCATTTGCAAGGGGGACGGATGTGGGCTTGCTTCTCCAAGCCAGAGCTGGTCTAAAGTTGGGCTGGGTCGCAGCATGTTTTAAAGATGGAGCTGGTGATTGGCCAGTGGAACAAAGATGGCCGCCGAGCAATGGTCTGAAGTGCTCGCTGCCCTCACCGCGCAGTTGCAGTCGCTGTGGTCCCCTGGAAGGCAGAGGTGCCATGAGCTCAAGTTCTCATCACTATATTCCTGGCCCACCCCACCATTCCCATACCCTCATACCCGAGGGTATCTCTTCCAAAGTGACCCAGTGGGATAGGGTCTATTATGGAACTCAGTTCTGGAATTCACATTAGACAAGGGAGAACCATAGGCCCATAGTAACACTGTGGGCAAAATTAATGAAAGCAACACCTGCTGTTTACAAAAAAATGTGACTGTGGGCCCACACACTAAGACATTTCAGAGAACAAATGATCTAATAAAATTAGTACTTTCAAAAGTTCTCAGGTGACCTTAAAAACTCTTGAATTACAAACACAGCAGGTAAAAAGTAAGGAAGTGGATTATATTTTAAAAATGAAGGGGGGGAAAAAAAAAATCACCATAGGCCATTATCCCATGCTTTTATAAATGCCGTTTCTAAGTCAAGGGTTTTGGCAGGGACGCGTTATTCTGGAACTTTTTGGAAAGCTAAACAGGGAATTTTCTTGTTTATTGGGTGTGTTAGTGTGTGTGTAAACGTTATTAACCGTGTTCAAAATATCCTGAAGAAAATCTTGGGGGTGGAGGGTAACACCAGGAATTGTCTCCAATACCCATGCTAACACTCTAATAAATACTTAAGGAGCATTGCTTTAGGGCGAAGTAAGAGGCCTTGACTACGAACTTCTTGGAAGAATGACTGAAAAGCTGATGCAGGTCAGCCATGCTGACTTGGCTTCAGGACTGAAGATGATATATGAAAAATTAATGTTTACTTTGTAAAAACAGTGATGAGAACTATTATAATCTTCATTTTGGTGGGAGAAAGAAATCTTTTTCCTTATTGTAAGATATCACTGTTCAGGGTTTGTCAGGTTTTACAAATGAGTATGCTGTATAAGTGACCGCACACTGGACCGAAGGGTCGGTTTGAACCACAAAGGTCAGTGGTTCAAACTCACCAGGTGCTCCTCAGAAACACTATATAAGTTCACTGTGAGTCAGAACCAACTCAACTGCACTTAACAACCATCAGAAGCAAGGGACATGGATCCCCTTCCAGACAGGGGACCAGGAGGACCAGGGTTCAACTCCTGGAACAACTGTGTAGCTGCCACCTGTCAGCGTGAGGCTTGTGTGTTGCTATGATGCTGAAGGACAATGGTAAAAGACTTTGCAATCTCCTTCTCTAAAACTCAGCCAATGAAAACTCTATGGATCACAATGGCCAGATCCACAGCATTGCACATAAGTTTACCGTGAGACTCCAGTTGGTTTCACAGCAGTAGAGCAACCAAAGTATCAAAAGCAGGGAGAAAAGCTTAAGAGGGTAGTGTGGAAACTCCACAGAACTGAGGGAAACCCCATCAAACTGGAATGGTAACTTTCTGAGCCAAAAAGGGAAATCTTTACACATATACCATGGCTCTCCTAGCCCCTTACACAGAGACAGCTAGGCATGGAAGTTAACAAGGTAAATGTGGGTGAATAGAAATGGCCCACTCAGGAGTCTGTATCTCTAAAATACTTTTTCACCTATGAGGGGGTCTTCAAACAGTCTGTGGAAGAATTTCATTATCTTTTTTTTTTTTCCCCATTATCTTTTCATTCCATTTATCTATAAACATTTTTGAGGCCTGCTCTTGTACTGGTACCAAATGACTGTATTTCATCTATTGTAAGATGAATTCCATCATGTGAAAATCGTATGTGTCATACGACAGATGACACGATGCAGTTTAACTGGCAGCCTTTTCTTTGTTAACAATACATAAAATAGTGGTACATTGAGCCATCAGAGAAATCACAGATTTGCTGAAATATGGGAGATGCCGCAGACTACCTCAGGGTTGTTAGGGTTAGTTCCTGCTAAGTCAATTCTGACTCATGGTAACTCCATGTGTGCAGAGTAGGATTGTGATCCATAGGGCCGTCAAGGCTGTGACCTTTTATAGAAGCAGATCACCAAGCTTGTCCTCTGAGGTATCTTTGGGTGGGTTTGAATCACCAATATTCTGGCTATTCTCTGAGCGTTTCACTATTTGTGCCAGGAACACAAATGTAAGTAAATACCTCAGGGAATGAATATGAGGATTGATCCTTACCCATCTCTACCTTTAATTCAACAACCCTTGGGCCAGTTAAAAAATCCACTGGTCCTATGTATTTTATGTCCCCAACTTTGATTCCCAAAGCAAATCTGATTTCCTATAGAGCAGGAAGGGAGCTTGTTCCCTAAGCAGGCCTATCTTCCCTGTCAGAAACATCTGAATGAGTGTTTCCTACTTAGTGGGTGCACACCTGTAGGGGGTGCTACACAACTAGGCGTGCTCATTGATAGCACAGAATCCAAAGCGCCACCCGCCCCCTGAGTTCATTACCTGGTCACTGTCTGATGCGGAATGCATTTGGCCAGGGTCCTGCAGTCCATCTGAGATACCCTTACTGTCAGTTTTGTTTGGTAGGTTCTTCCTTCTCAAAAGTTCTCCAGCAGAAGAATCCGTCAAACCATCAAAATTGTTTCCCTCGGACACACCCATGAACTCTGTGAAAGAATGATCTTCCAGGATGTTTGTGGTATGTTCCACCGTCACCTCCCTGGGGGGAAATTCCCTGGCCGGCGGGCCATTTTTGCTGGGGCAGACCTCGAGTTCTGAACAGGAGCCAGTCCTATAAGGTACTTTGGAGTTTTTCTCAGGGATGCTTTGGGATGATGGGCTCCCTTTGGCTAAGGCACTGTTTTCCTTGAGTGGCACCATGATTAATTTATCCTTTACCAAGCCTCGTTCTGGTTCCGTCAGCTCTTTGTTCGAGGCCGGTCTGTACTCATGCACAAGTGATAGTGCAGAATTCAGCTCAAGGGCATCTGCACCCTTCATCTGAATGGCCAGCTGATCTGAGCTGTCACTAGAAGGGACCGCCATGTCAGACAGAGTGGCATTGGAGGCACTGTGGGAAAAGTAGCCACTGGTAATACTGCTGGTGGTAGGGCTACGGGACACTTCTTTCTCCAAGGCCCGTAAGTTTGTCAAATCAATTTTAGAAGAAAACCACTCCCTGTTCTCCAAGCTAGCATTGTAAACACTGAAGTCAGCAAACTCCACAGGTACATAAGGCTGTGAGCTTATCGACTTCCTGTTCATAGCTTCCAGCTCATTTTCCTCCTCTTCTGAGTCCTATAGAAAAGAAGCAAAAATCAGTCATGGACTCCTTATAGAACTGCATTGTTGAAACTAAATACTTCATATTAAAGTGATTCACATTCATGCGTTTAGTATTTATCTTCTTTCTGAGTTTGGTCACAAGTTATCTGAGCTACACAGGTAAATTCTCAGAAACCTGTGAGCATAAACCCATTATCAACTAACATGAACAAGATTCCTTTCTTTCGTGTTCATTTGATGCTAATTTGAAAACATTCCCCTTCTGTTGGTTTAAGAGACTGAATGAAACGGACAGTGTACTGGGCTTAAATCCTAACTCATGATTTGTTTTCCACTATGGTATCTTCCCTTTTCTTGTTAAATGGGCAGAAGAACAGCCAGAGAGGCGGAGGGGACCAGCTCTTCATTTGTTTGTTTTTTAAAGCTTTCTATTTTTATTTTAACTACTTATTGGGAATTGGGTGAAGGTATACAGAGCAAATCAGTTTTCTATTCAAATATTCATACACATTTCATGTCATTGACTGCAACTCCCAAAGTGTAACATCACTTATCCCACTTCCTCCCTGGGTGTCCCAGTTTCTATTCTCCCTTTCTATCCACTTCCTGCCTTTTGAATTTAGTCCTTGGGTGAAGGACTGCTCTTTTGTTCTCACATGGCTGATCATTGTAAGAAGTATGTACCACCCTATTGCTATTGTTCACCTTACAGAACTGTCTATTGTTTGGCTGGGGTGGTGGTGGATAAATTTAATTTCAGGCCTGAGGGGTGACTAAGGGTCATAGTCTTGGGTGTTCCACCAGCTTCTATCCTACCAGTAACCCTGCCCTTTCATATAATTGTGAGTTTTGTTCCATATTTTTCTCACACTCTATTATTGAGGACCTTCTAATGTGACCCCTGTTAGTGCAATCAGTAGTGGCAACTGGGCAACACCTAATTCCATTATCTCTGTCTGTTCTTACAGCCTTCACATTGGAAAACAGAGAACAAGCAATTCAGGTGATTGTGCTAAGTTTCTGAGCTATTAGATGGGGGGGGGGGGGGGGAGAAGGACAATAAAACAAAGACTTTAGCAGTCAAATGGCAAAGAGCACAATCCCAACACCCATCATTAGTAGTATGTTAAACAGCAAGTCTGCAAGATACTAACATCCAAAGTGATCACTACAGTTTTCTACGTTTCTTGAGAAATACAAATAGAGGATTTGGCTAAAAGGTAAGGAAGGCAGAAAAGTTTAAATGAAAATCTCCTTGCTTCATCAAAGAGCTGTTTATAAAGATCAGCATATATGCAAAAGTGGGTACCAGCACCTCTATGGGGAAAAAAAAAAATTGGTTATTGTTGTTAAGTGCCGTTGAGTCGGTTCCAACTCATAGTGACCCTATATAGGATTTCCAAGGTGTGGCTGGTGGGTTTGAACCACCAACCTTTCAGTTAGCAGTCCAGTGCTTATCCTACAGTGACACACCAGGGCTCCTTACATTTGGTGGAAGACAAGCCCTGGAAATATCAATGGTGAGCAAAACAGACAAGGTCCTAGTCCTCACGGAGTTGTGATGTTTACTAGTAAGGCTTACTAATTAAGGTGATATCACAACCTTGAAGAAATTGATCAATCCATACAAATGGCAGGTGATTGTTCACAAATAAACACAAATTCCGTCTGTTGAATTTGATAGCTTCTCATAAGATAGCCAAAAACAAAACAAAAAAAACAAACAAATGCGGCAACACTAAGCTCTTGCTGTCTTATCTTTGGCTGTATCCTAAACTGAAAACTGGAAGCGCCATTAAAAAGCAAAAAAAGCCCAGCTGACACAGCGGTTAGGTGCTAGGCTGCCAATGGTAATGCTAATGCTAGGCTGCTGGGTCGAACCCAACAACAGCTTTGTGAGAGAAAGACTTCTGCTTCTGTAGAGATTGTTGTTGTTATGTGCTGTGGAGTCAGTTCCGACTCATAGAGACCCCGCACAGGATTTCTCAGGCTGTAAATCTTTACGAGAGCAGAAAGCCTCATCTTTCTCCCACGTAACAGCTGGTAGTTTCGAACTGCTAACTGTGAAGTTAGCTGCCTGATTTGTAACCACGACACTACCAGAGCTCCTTTCTGTAAAGATTACAGCTGTGGAAACCCCCATAGGGGACTCTGTCCTACTGGGTGATTACGAGTTGTTACCAGCTCAGAGGCAATGAGTTGATGATAATTAGTAATTTGTGCCTGAAGTCCTCTCTTCTAAAGTCTGAGGAAAGGCACAACCACACCCAACGCATGGCCTTCTAATGGATTCTGACTGTGTAGCTCTATAGGACAGAGTGGAATTGCTCCATAGGGTTTCTGACGCTGTGAGTCTTTATGGAAGCCGACTTCCTTCTCTCTGCTGTGGAGCAGGTGGTGGGTTTGAATTTCTGGTATTTTTGTTGTTGTTAGCAGTCCAGCGCTTAACACACTATGTAACCAGGACTCCTTAAGGAAAGGTAAAGTATAAGTTATCCAAAAATACAACTTTGCTAAAGGAGATAATCAGTCATAAGTTTATAATACTCACAAAGATAAAAAATTATCCTTACAGGATTAGAATGAATGTAGTAAAACAGTGCAAATAGGGAGAAATACACTTAAAATCCACTGTCACATTAGACACTGGCTACCTAAAATGGGGGGCAATAAAGGTACTAAGTGACTGACTTACAAGTTTTCAAGAGGGAGTTCAGTTTTAGAGGGTGTGGAGGAAGGTAGAATATCTTTACTGAGTGGTTTCCAACCTGTCTAGATGGGATTGGTGAAAGGAGATAGGGATAAGACTCTTGTGGTTCAATAGTGAATAATTGCTATCAGGACTGATTGTGATTGTTGCAACTGTAAAGGTAGATGTTTTGTAACAAAAGGAGGGAGTGGTTGATCTTGCAGTCCAGGAGCGGTGGACCCTGGGACCATCAAGGGAGAAAAGCGGAGAGTGGGACCCTATCCAGAGAAGCAGGGAAGCCAGAAATGGAGGCAGACATGATGATGTGGAGAGATGGAGCAACTGGGGACCCTGGACTCTGGGAGGGAGAGGGGCTGTGTGTTGACAGCCAGGGGGGTGGGCTTGCGGAGTGTACCCTTTGGTTGTTTAAATAGTTGGATATTCCTGAGTGCTTCAGTGTACATCTAAAAAAACAAAACAAAAAAAACCAGAGGGAATGGAAGCAAATGCTGTTGAATGATGATGCATGGAGAAGATTGTAATTATTGCAATGAAATGAAATATGATAGGATGAGTGTAAAGCTGATGTTCTCCCATGTAAACTATCACTCAATCACAATAAAAACTAAAAACAAAAACCCACCGCCACAGAGTCAATTATGACTCGTAGTGACCCTATGTGACCTAGTAGAACTGCCCCTAGGGTTAAGGCTATAATCTTTTATAGAAGCAGACTGCTATATCTTTCTCTCACAGAGCAGTTGGTAGGTTTGAACAGTCGACCTTTCAGTTAGTAGCCCAATATTTAACCACTGTGCCACCAAGGCTCCTCAGTAATGCATATAGGAATGGGGAATAAACAACCCTAAGAGAAAGGAGTAGGCATAACTTATTCCAGTAAAAAGTTTAGTAGAGATGAAACAATTTCCAACTTTTAGAGGGAGACTGTAAGCTTATCAATTTATTACCTTTGAGGAGACAAGAGAAAACTTAATTGACTTAAACTGTATGTTCAGGTAGTTTGGTTAAATCTATATACAGCATTTGTGTCTTAAAGAAGACTAACATAAACACCTTCCATGAAGACAGAAATAAAGAGTTAACACCCTCCGCAACAATTGAGTCAAGTTCTCAAGCTTCTCTATATCTGTCATCGTTGTTGTTGTTAAGTGCCGTTAAGTCAGTTCTGACTCATAGTGACCCTATATGGGGTTTCCAAGGGTTTCCAAGGAGTGGCTGGTGAGCTTGAACTGCTGATCTTGTGGTCCAAACCGACCTTGCAGTCCAGCTCATTAACTCACAGTGCCACACCTGGACTTCTCGCTAAAGCTAGTCTTAATGATTTGCTTTAAAAAAATATATATATATATTGTGAATTGAGTGATAGTTTACATGGGAGAACATCAGCTTTACATTGATCCTATCATATTTGTTTGATTGCAATGATTACAATCCCCACCATGCATCATCATTTAACAGCATTTGCTTCCATTCCCTCGGTTTTGTTTTTCATGATCTGCTTTTTGCAATTTAACTTGTGCAGCTGATATTTACCTACAGACAAAACACTTTGATTTAAAAAAGGGATCAAAAGTGACATTAAAAACAGTGACTCTTTGCAAGGAGATTCACTTAATTTTCACTCCTACTACATAAGTCTGTGTTCTTCAGAGATGGTCTGTTTCCTGACTACCAGTAGTTCTGTCCATGGTACTTAGGAGTGGGAAGCAGGTTGTTAGCAAGGCGCCACAGCAGGATCTCCTAGAAACTACACTCACTTAGGAAGCAGCAGGAGGGACTGGAGTCAGCCCAATTCTACTGCAGGATGGGGCTCCTCCTTTTTTAACACTCAGTACAGCATTGGGCAAGTCACTCAATGCATCTAAACCTGTTTCCACTTCTATATGCTGTTGAAAGAGTCTTAAAAGAGGACCGTGCAGATACAGTAGTAAGGTGGGTAAAAAACAAAAACAAAAACGTATATATACAACTGGAACAATGTCTTGATATTCTCAAAAATGATTTCACACTACTTTACTCATTCTGGATCACTCATTCACCCTTTGATTTTTCAAGAGTAGACAGCAAAGCAAAGGAAAGTGAATTAGAAACAAAGGAAGAAAACAGTTTATAAGAAGGGAAATAAAGTTTCCCAAAGAGAAACTGGGATCTCAGGCCACACAAACTATGCACCTAAAATCTACCAAAATGTCGTGGAGAAGCTGTACCTGGAAATTGAACAGTCCAGTAGACTGCTCAGTGCGCCAGTATTCTCAGGAGAGTGGAGGCAGGTGTCTTAAGCTAAGGACCCAGCAAGGAACATGGTACCACCCAAACCTACTTGGTGGGCTTCATGTTAATATTTGGTCACGTTAGTTTAACTGCTGCTTGAAATTTCCTGGGTCAAGAGAATCTGGATCCACACTCCCCTCTGCTAGCAGAAAGCCTAAGTTTTTTTGTTGTTGTTGTTATTGTTTGTTTTAAATTTAAACGTATTCAAATGATACTCAAGAAATAATTTCAAGGCAACTTCTGTGAACTGTGAAAGTATCTGGGGACCAGCCCCGTGAAGACTCACTCAGCAGTGTCTTGATAGTTATGCTGTCTTGAACCAAAGTGTATTTCTAAATTAGGTTTAAATTTAGTGCCTGTGCATCAAGGTCATAAGTCAGAGAATCTGAAGGGGGAAGAAACTAGCGCTTGACCGTTTTATCCCAGGCTGCTGCCCTTATGAACGAAGCAGACAGCGATCAAGGACAAGTCAGAGCAGTTCATTCAGATCTAGAGAGATGAAAGGTGAGCTGATGATAGGCTTATGCGTTCCCATCAGGAATGAGGAGGGGGGCTTTGGGATAGTTGAATGGAGAGTATGGAGAGGGACTGGTGGGTTTCCTCTTTTTCTTCGTGTGCATTACGAATGGGAAGGTCATTTTTAAACCCCACTAGCATGCAGGTATAAGGCCAATTGCTCATCCCAATTAAGTTCTGTTAGTTTCACACGGTGCCGTAGCAGCACGTCTTGATGCTGGTAAAGGACCTCTGCACTATCAGCCTTTGGAATGAATGCAGCAGGGTGAACTAGGCACAGGATACTTCCCACACTCTGCCCAGCACAGGAGATAAACACTCAATAGCCTAATGGCTTCAAAAGCTGGCTTTACCTTTCCCAAACCTAGGATGCCACATAAAAGTATAAGCTGTAGCAGAATTAGAGAATTCTTTCAAGGCTTGAGAAAATGCAAATGAACCTTTCTTTTTTAAATTAAGGGCTAATTAGTAAGGAGCTCTGGTAGCGTAGTGGTTACAAGTCGGGCTGCTAACCTTAAGGTCAGCTAGTTTGAAACTACCAGCGGTTCCAATGGAGAAAGATGAGGCTTTCTGTTCCAGTACAGATTTACAGCCTCGGAAACCCTGTACAGGGTTGCTATGAGTTGAAACTGACTCCATGGCATACCACCACCACCAATTTATAACCTAGAGCATACAAGGTATTGTTGTTGTTAGGTGCCACTGAGTCGGTTCTGACCCATAGCAACCCTCTATAGGGTTTCTGAGGAGTGACTGGTGAACTTGAACCGCTGACCTTATGATTCAAACTGACTTCGCAGTCCCGCACATTACTTCACAGAGCCACACCAGGACTCAGTACTAAGTATGTTGTTGTTGTTGTTAAGTGCCATCGAGTCGGGTCCGACCCATAGCGACCCTGTACAGGGTTTCCGAGGGTGTAAATCTTTACGGGAGTAGAAAGCTTCATCTTTCTCCCGCGGAGCGGCTGGTAGTTTCGAACCGCTGACCTTAAGGTTCGCAGCCCGATTCGTAACCACTACGCTACCAGAGCTCCTTAGTACTAAGTATACAGTGTTTTAAAAACCATTTCTTGTCATTGTAATTTAAAAACCAAGTGATGGGGAATGAGGTTTTGCAGGTAGAGTTTTAACCTATCTATGGTGAAATACACACTAGCCATCCTGAGAGCAAGGCCAACACCTGCGCAGGTTAGGGTTTATTTTGCCAACTAGTTTAAAAGGAGGTGTTCATGGGTCATGATGGAATGCTGCGGCCACAAACTACAGAATCATCTTGGCAGTAGCATCAAGCAACATAAAAAGCTTTGAAACAGACCCACGGTGAAATGTGGAATTACTTACTCCAAGTAAATTCAACTCCTCTAGGTAGATTAACTTCAGAATCTGGCAATATGTATAAGTACATTAGAAATATTTCAAGAGCAGTAAAAGTGGTCTCTCTGTTACAATTTCATAAAGACTAAAATCATTAAACGTGCCTGTTTCCCCCACCCCCTTTTTAAAACAGACGAATAAACCAAAATCACTGGTCATGGCTACGTGCATGCAAAATTTCGTTAGTTAATGAATGTGAATTTTAAAGTCTCTCTCTTTTTTTTTTTTTTTTGTCAAGCAAACACTCAATGCACATCTTAATTTCTTCTAAAGTGTTTGGATGATTGTCTGTGAAAGGGCTTGAAACCCACCACCAGGCAACAGGACAGAAATGGTTCCAAACTTACAATCTTCTTCTCACGTTTGCTATTGTGTTCTACTGGCATGCTGCTGCCATTGCTTCCTGAGGCTACAATGCAGCCAGGGTTATGCGCCTGAGATGGAGGCATGCTCTGCAAAGGTTAAGACACATAGATGCATCACACACAAAAGACGACGACAGTGAAAATACATTATTAAGTACATGCAAGTTAGAAAAGCAATGCAAACACTTTGATTACAGGACAGTCGTGCAGCAAACAATTCTGCAGGCTGGAGTTAAACCACTGAAGACATCTGACAAGACTACATGAGCTCTGTAGTGACTTCATCAAATGAAAAAAAAAAACAACTTCAATATTTTCCAAACGTCTAAGAAACATCTCTTTCTCACGTGAAAGATTAAAAATAAATAAAAATGCCTAGAAAAAAATCATATAAAGAAAACACTTCTACCACAGCCCTGTGTGCAAATGAGTGGTAATCCACACATGCCCACATGCACCATCGGGTATGTTAGTCAATGGGAACTGCTACTTCTCCACAAGCAACGCCATGAGCCTTGCTATTTTGCGTAGTACAGACAAGAGAAGCACTTACCTCCTGGCTTAGAAGAGGCCTGGTCTCAAGAGCTGTCTTTTTCTTATGCTCTTCTTTTACAGGCATGAGGGGTTTGAAAAACTTTGGTGGCTGAGGAGAGAATGCTTTAAAAGGGCTGACCATTAAGGCATGAGGATTCTCTGATGTGCAACCTAGAGAAGACCAAGAAAAAAAAGCAAACATGACTTTACCAGAGGCAGAGGAATAGAATAGAAATAATTCTGGAAATATGTGCCAAACAGTAGAAAACAGGGACCCAAACAGATACTGTAGCCCAATGTTCATTGCAGTACTATTCACAAGAGGCAAAAGGTGGTAACAACCCAACTGTGCATCCACAGATGAATGGATACACAAAATGTGGTATGCAAGGAAATATCTTGCACCATAAAGAGAGATGAAATTCTGGTATGTTACAACATGGATGACCCTTCAAAGTATTATGTTGAGTGGACTATGAGTACGGGAGATACAGAAGGGCAAATAGTGTTTGATCCCATTTATATGAAGTATCTACATTAGGCAAATGCACAGAGATAGAAAGTAGATGAGTAGTTACCAAGGGCAATGATTGGGGGAGTGGAAAGTTACTGTTGAATAGGCAGAGTTCTGTTTAGGGTGATATTATTTTGGAAACAAATAGTGGTGGCAGTTTTACAACATTATGGGTTTGCTAAATGACATTTACTGTACATTTAAAAGATGTTTTTAAAACATTAAAGTGGCAGATTATATGTTGTGTTTTGTTGTTGCTGTTGTGAAGTGCCATCAAATCAGTTCTGACTCATAGCATCGCTGTATAAGCTTTTCCAAGTGGCTGTTGGGTATGAACCACCAATCTTATGGTTAGCAGTCATTAGCTACCCTACAGTGCAACATCAGGACGTCATGTCATCGTTCCCCAATGCCAGTCCCAGGGTTGACCAGCTTTTCAGAAAGTTTTTGTGACTTTATAGGTTTATTTTTTTCAATTGCGGTAAACTATGTATGTTATATATAGTTTACCACAATGAAAAAACAACAGATAAACCTATAAATTCTTTAAAAAAAAAAAAAGCCTAGGAAAAAACCATACAAACAAAGAAAAACACTTCTACCACAGCCCTGTGTGCAAATGAAAAGCTGCATTCTAGAACATAACGCATGGAGTGGTAATCCACACATGCGCACGTGCACCATCGGGTATGTCAGTCAATGGGAACTGCTACCTCTCCACAAGCAACACTTTAACTAAAGGGCTGGTCAACCTGAAAAAAAAACAAGCAGCAAAGCAAAACAAAACAAAAAAACAGACACCAAATTCTCCACATACTTTTTAAGACACAGAAGCCCTGGTGGCTCAGTGGCTAAGAATTTCACTGCTGACCAAAATGGGAACAGTTTGAACTCACCAGCCAGCTCTGTCTGTGTCAAGATCACAGTCTTGGAAACCCTATGGGAGCAGTTCCACGCTGTCCTACAGGATCTCTGTGAGTCTGAATTGACTTGATGGGAATGGGTTGTTTTTCGGTTTTCAAGATATACCTTGAGTGTCATTTACTAGACCATTTTTCCCTTTAGCTGAATCCTCAGAGTTCTTACGATCTCTACACACGTTTTGGCACTAAATCATTCCATGTCTTACTTTCTACGTGTCTTACTTCCAGTTACATTTTATAGCACTCTTTTGTATCTTTTACTGTCTGTAGATAGCAGGTGTCTGAAATACTGTAAAAATTTTCTTAAAAGCCTCTTTTTTCTTTAAGCCATTCTGTGCTATTTGACTACAGAAGGACAATTCTTCTTTGTTGCTTATACTCATGTCTTAGTTTACTGGGCCTCTTGTCCCCATTTCATATTTTCTTTACAATTCTTTGGTACAATAACACTTACTTACTAAAATATGATGGGTAACATAACAGCTAATTTACGTATTCAAAGAATGTCATTCTTTCAAGGCAGTGGAACACTATACATTTAGGCAATAATGCTGCCACCAAATAAACACATTTCTGATATCACTGTTGAAATTGCTTTAGAAATTAGTGAAATAGTCTTCTTAAAAATCGCTTTAGTTTGAGGAAAACAACATGACACTTAGAAATTTTCTGTTATTACGAAAGAAGTCTAACTGTAATGTAATAAGATTTGTTTGAAAAAATAATTGGAAAAATTCTAAAGTGTTTTACAAAAATTTACTATTGATATTTGGCTATACATTGGGGGGAGAGCAAAAATAAATCAAATAACAGAACATGATGCGGTCTGTTCAAGGAGGCAGGTCTGAATCATGATGTTAATTAGAATTTCAACTTCATATCTTATGTTGCCCATGAAAGACTTTTTTGCCATACTTTTCCTAAGTAATTCTAAAGCAATGTCACTGAAAAACAATCTCAATACTACCTTCTTTACTCCTGCGAGGTGAATCCCTGGGTAAGGTTCCATAACATGCTATATCTTGGTAACTGGAGCTGTAGTCAGACACATCTAAGTGGTTCTCTGACCAACCCTACAAGGTAAAAAAGATGGGTTAACTTTAATTAAGTCCATTTAAAATGAGGAAATGAAACTCAGACTTGGGCTTCTTGTATTTCTTTTTTAATACAGGCATATATCCTACTTTATTATGAAATATTTAAAAAACACATAGAAAAGCACCGTATTTTTAAGCAAACAATGCACGCATTATGATTTGTTGTTAACTGCCCAACCCCCTTGAACATTCATTTCCTAAGCATGTGCATGTTATTTACATGGGCGTTTTATTTGTGAAAAACAGTACTGGATAACAAAACAAACACTATCTTATACAAAGAATGAATAAATATGAGTATTTTATCTTAATTGCTTAAGATTTAAGAAAATTGTTATATTTTTGTGTCACTGAATCAGTTACGACTCATAGCAAACTTGTATTGGGTTTTCGAGGAGTGGATGGTGGGTTTGAACCGCAGACTTTATGGTTAGCAGGCCAGTGCTTATCCTACAGAGCCAGACCAAGATTCCAAAATCATTGTAAAATAATGGAATCCTCTTTTGTACCCCTGCATGGTCCCATTTGTATTTCTCTATCCATAGATGCAACTACTTTAATGAATTTGATATACAGCTAGCGTGACTAAGTAACTTCAAGACTAAATGAAATCACCCTTGAGAATCAAACAGTTCTATTAAAATTTTGCCTGGGTAGTAGTCATAGAGACAGGAAGTGTCCTAGGCAAACAAGGTAGTGTGGTTACACTTTGTATAGCTGAGATTAAAAAGTTTCAGAAACTTTCAAATGTTTCTACTGTCTATTGGCGTACTTAAAAGGAAGCAACTCCTTTTGTATATCACTTCCATTTCTTCGGAGCTGAATAATAAAACAAAGGACTAGAGTTTGAAATTATTGTGGATATAATCTGCATTCATTCCTTTTGAATGGTCCACAATCCTTAGTAGAGTAACTTAGATACAGTTCATATTAAAGAAATACTTGTTGGAAAAGATGATGTTGTAAATGGCCCTTAATTATAAATCACTAATTTCATCTATATGAAAGCATTTGATTTTGCTATGGTGGATGTAATACCTTATTCAGCTCTTTGGGTTAGACCCATAAAGGCAAATATTAATTCAATTATGTGTATATTGCACAGCAAATTTCCCATCATGCATTTTGACTTGGAAATGGTGATGTGGGGAGAATGGTGTGCCTTTTAGATGGCAAACACCGAGATTTAAAAAACACTAAACTCCCCTGACTTTCCAGGCTAATATCATGCTAGGGCCCTAGATACACCATATAGACACACCTTATCATCTTCATCAAAGCCAGTAAGGTCTGGTCGACTTGAAGAGACCTAAAAGAGATGATTTTTTTTTTTTTTAATCAATGTGGTTTATTCATTTGACATAATTATTTTTCCAAAAGAAATACAATGTCAAAGATAAAGTGGAAGCCTGAATGACTGTCTTTCTTTCCAATCCCAGCAGTAATGACTATCCTAAATTTGGGGTTTATGATCCTCATGCATATCTCTATACTTTACATGAGTGGTACCCTACTATACACTTCAACAGTTTAACTTATTTGTTCTCTTCCTCCATTGATCCACATCAAGACTGCTTCTAATGTTTTTCTATCACAAACTATGATGCCATGAATGTTCTTGCTACTGCCTCTAGATACCCTCTAAGTAGCACTCCAACTGCATCTAGCATGTACTGACATGTGTAGTGTTTTCAGTAACTAGTTTTAAGTATACTCTGTCGAGCAATGGACAGCTCTACAGTGTAGATTTAAGAAATGAGAGTCTCAACCCCTGTATTCCACTGGGATCTTAGGGATAAGTTTTTGAAGTCCTACAAAACACTCTTTTGGGAATTTATTGATCAATTTCTGGAGAAGTGACAATATTTTTATACTGTGTGTTCCCATCAATGAGCACAGTCTTTTTTTTCTGAGTTTAGGTCTTCCTTTCTGCTACACAAGTATTCAGGGTTTTTTTTTGTTTTTTTTTTTAATATAACTTCTTTTTGATTAATTTTTGCAAGACATTTTCATTTAATTTACGCTTTTACATTTATTAGCATAATATTAGTCATGGGCTTGTTCTTAGGTCAAAATCTCTATTCCATGTATGCTAACACCTTCCTCCTTATTCCCAATAATATTTGTGTCTGCTTTCATAGTCTCATTTCATCACCAAATAAATCTTAACTAGAGATCAGTCCATTTTATCACGTTATCAGAACCTCTCTACTGTCTCATACACCTTTGGTCTAATCTCTGCTGTTTCCTTCTTCCTTGAAATTTGTTAGACTTCTGTACTAAGCCCACCCCAACCACTGCCACAGTTGATTTTGACTCAGCAATCCTATATAGCGTTTCTGAGGCTATTTGTCTTTACGGGGGCAGATAGTCACATCTTTCTCCCGAGGAGCAGCTGGTGGATTTGAACTGCCGACCTTGTTCTTAGCAGTCCACCAGTGGTATTGTTGTTATGTGTATTTATTGTTGATAAATATCATCAAGTCAATTCCGACCCATAGCGACCCTGTATAAGGTTTCCAAGGAGCAGCTGGTGAGCTTGAACCACTGACCTTGCAGTTCAAATGACTGACGCATTAGCCCACAGCACCACACCAGGACTCCTAAATTTATTACTAGTAGCTCTCATAACCTTTTATTCTCTCTTCTGTTCAGTAGTCTGGTGTATAAATGGAATAACAGAATTTAAGATTAATGTCCTGGTGTGGCGCTGCAGGATGCACTGGACCGCAAGGTCAGTTAGAATCAGAAGGTCGGTGGTTCAATCCCATCAGCAGCTCCTCTGAAACCCTACACAGGGTCACTGTGAGTTGGAATTGACTCAATGGCACTTAACAATAACAAGGTTAATGAACCCTTCCATATGTAACTTTAACTGCATCCCACAAGCACTGATGTGCAGACCATGTTCATTATCATTATCCTAATTTATTTCCATTAATATGATCTCTTCCTTGACACATGAACTAAGTAGAGGTTTGTTGTTTTTTTTTTTTTCAAATTTCCAACTGCATGGGGTTTCTTATTATTTCATATCTTACTATTTAATGACTTCATTGTGGTCAGGAGATATGTTCTATATGATACTGATCATAGGCATTGGCTGGGATTTGTCTTATGGCCTACTATAAGACAGTTTTTGTTAACATTTTTTGTCCTTTTATGGAAATTCTAGAAGTCAGGAAAGTAAACATTACTTCCCTTTTTTGGAGGGCTCTTTACTTTTTTTCTACTGTTTCTAGAAAAAAGTTGCTTTGCAGTGTTCCATGTGCTCATCTGTCATTTTTTTTCCATGACAGCACCCCACTCAGAGAGAAACAGTCCCTGTGAACTCACTTTTCTAATGCATTAGTTGAGGAAGAAAATCAAATGATCAGAGATGAGATGAAGGATCAGGGGAGTGCCCACAGGAGGCTGTAGCTCAATGTACTTCTGATGGGCAGAGTCCACTGACATGGCAGCTAAACCGGAGCATATAAAACCAGTGCGGTGGCAGCCACGATATATAGCTGATTCCACCTTCTCCTTAACTACTCAATTCAAAAGGAATGTGGCTAAAGAACAATGATAATGAACCACTGCCTAAACTTTCCTCCTCACATCTCAAGCTCTATTTGTGGTGATGCCACAAGACACTTCTTTCCAGAGATAACTTCTGAATGCTTTTGTTGTTGGTGGTTAACAAATCGATTCCAATTCAGGTGACATGACTTGTGTTTGAGCCCTCTGGTGTGCAGGTGTGCAACCCCACTGCAGAGAATGGCAGGTCTGCACCTGAGCCAAATGCCCTGCACGCACCCCCCCCCCCCAAGTCCTGAGACACATCATGAAACCAGCAGATCCCTGGGGGGGCAGTGGTGGGGGTGTGGAACTTACATTATGAACATTTGGAGTGCTCAGGCTCCTCCGCATGTGCCGAGCTTTGGTGGAAAGCGCTTCTTTTACAGTGACGGCCTGTCGATGCATAAGGATTTAAGAACAACATTGATTATTTCCCCCTCTGACTGAATCAAAAGTAATAAGAGCATTTATGTAGAACATTTAGAAACATAGGAACAAAAATCACTTCAATAGCAGTGACTGTTACAAAACATGGTCAAGATAATGGCTCTGAATTGTTATTGTTGTTATGTGCTGTCATTGCGAGCCTGTACAGGGTTTCTGAGGCTGTAAATCTTTATGGGACCAGAAAGCCTCATCTTTCTCCCACGAAAGAGCTGGTAGTTTTGAACTGCTGACCTTAAGGTTTGCAGCCCGATTTGTAACCACTACGCTACCAGAGCTCCTTCTGAATTGTTATTAGGCGCCATCAACTCGGCTCAGATGGAGAGACCTTAGGGATACGAAAATGAACTGTACATACAAAAATCTTTGGAATGTTAGTGATTTATATTTCATCACAATAAAAATGTTGAAAAAATTCAACTTAATCAAACACACACACACACACACACACACACACACACACCCCTATCCAGTATTTACAAAACCAAGTTTCCTTTGTATTCACCTGTTGATTATTTGGTTACTTCTAAGTGGAGTACTTCCTGTTGAGACTTAGGCACTGTGATAGGATAAAAGGTGCTAAGAAAATATTGTCTTTGTTTTTAAGGACACACAAAGTGCACTATTTCAATACACTTTGGTAGGTGTTTTGGTGTGATAAACAAGGTACCATAAGAAGAACAAGAAAGGAATGTCTAATTTGTTCAGGTCAGTCAAGGTCTGAGTAGGCATTGAGGATCACTTTCTGGTGGAAAGTGATGACTATATTCATTTTTTTTAAAAATTTGACTAATATGCCTAATGTCCATAGTACTTAAAAAGAAAAAAAAATTGTGGTTAATCTATATGTAACAAAAATTTTAAATTTCAACAATCTTCACACATACAGCTCAGTGGCATTATGTTAGTCATGTTGTTCAACAACCAGTCCCATTATCTGTTCTCAAATTTTCCCATCAGCCCTGACAGAAGTTCAGAGTCCCTTAAACTATGAGTCATCTTTCCCCTCTTCCTCTAACAAACTTTGGTCCCTATACATGTGGTATCGATTGTTGTTCTGCTTCACAACACGTGAGTCCCCAGTGTCTACTGTTCCTATGGAGTGGCATCTTCTGTCTTATAGTTAGTTGTACTGCCCACTGGATGACTCCTCTTGAATGTCTTGCTTTCAGCTCATAAATTAACCTGGTTTCAAAAGCTGTTGTTGTGGTGAGTGCCGTTGAGTTGGTTGGTTTCTGAGGTGTGGCTGGTGGGTTTGAACCACCGACCTTGCAGTTTACCAATCCAGTGCTTATCCTATAGCACCACACCAGGACTCCGGGTTAAAAAATCAAGGATGTAATAATTATCTATAGTTAAGTATGTGTGCTTTAGAGTCAAGTTGTCTGGGTGTGCACCCTGGCTTGGTACCACCCACTCAACTAGCTGTGTAATCTTGGGCAAATTAGGGGACCAACTATCGAGTTGGTTCCAGCTCATAGCAACCCTGTATAGGGTTTTCAAAGAGCAGATGGTGAGCTTGAAGCGCCGACCTTGTGGCTCAAACCAACCTTGCAGTCCAGTGCTTATCCTACAGAGCCACACCAGAACTCCTCTCAATCTTAAGGTTTCTCATTTGAAAGTGAGGATTGCAACAGCACTTACCTCATAGGGTAATTTTACAGATTGAAAAAAATAAATGTATTTTAGGAAATAATAAATGTATTTAGGAAATACTCAATAAAGCTCTGGTAGTAGAGTGATTATGAATTGTGCTGTGAACCTTAAGGTCAGCAGTTCAAAACTACCAGCTGCTCCATAGGAGAAAGATGAGGCTTTCTGCTCCTGTAAAGATTTATAGCCTCGGAAACCCTGTACAGTGTAGCTATGAGTCAGAACTGACTCCACGGCACATAACAACAACATTATAATTTTTGGAGTCCTGGTGTGGTGCTGTGGGTTAATGCGCTAGACTGCAAGGTTGCTTTGAACCATAAGGTCGGCAGTTCACGCACACCAGTCAGTCATCGGAAACCCTATTCAGGGTCGCTATGAGTTGGTACTGACTCTATGTCACTTAACAACAACAACATCTAACTTCTCTAGAGAAATGGTTACTCCGGCATTTCTTCTCTGGTAGACGAAGAGAGAAAGGATTTGATAAATAAATTTATCTTGGTCTGTGCAGGGCTGAAGAATGGTGATCTGTCACCTTCCAGCCCAGACATTCCAGTGACTTACCTGGCGGAGCCGCTCAAGGCTCAGGATGTTTTCCACCTGCAGTACACCGCGTGTGTATTTCTCAATGTAGGTCTCCCCATCCCACGTGCCTTCATTTTCACTCTTTGCTGCCAAGAGAGCCAACGTTTCCCGGTCCTCAATCTCCTCTGTTGCCTAAAGGGACAGGAAGCCAGCGACAATGCTTTCATGTGAACAATATTCTCAGCCACATTTTGGCAAGAAAAAAATGATTTCAAAGGTTTTGGGAATGAACATCCTCTCCATTGTGCTATCGATATTTTAAAGTAGCATATTTTTTTTTACCTTTGGTATGTTGGATACTATTTCATAGGTGACACCACAGGAATAAAAGATATTTTTCAATGAGATTCTCCTCTTCAAACTCTGGGTGAAACTCTGATGGAAAAGGAAAGTTGATTATGAGCTATGTGGAAAAAATAAAATGAGTACACATTTAAATAGAATAATTACTATGTTATTTTACACACACACACACACACACACACTGAACTCACACATTTAATTCAGTAAAACAAAAACAAAACAAAATCAGAATCCAAAATTCTAGTCTCCCAGCCATGAGGGGCAATACTGCTCAACTATCATTTGATTTCGGGGCTGGATTACGATTGGATTATGGAATCTGCAGCATATTCAAGGGTCTGGTGGCTGCGTCCCTTCCCCATCAGTTGCCTTCTGTTTGACTTTTTTCTAGGCTTCATCAGTCTTATCAAGGGACATCAGAAGAAAGCTGAGGGGGATTAATTTTGTTGATAGTGTCTTTGAGATGGTGTTTGGAGAAGCAGGAGGAGAGGCGCTTACTTGGAGCTTTTACCTTGTCCTGGCTTTGCCACTCTCCTACCTGGATTAGAAGCTTAAAGTTAGCATGTCAGTTTCAGAGCAGTGAAACATCACAGCCCTCCTGACTTCCAGCATTCTGGGTCAATTCTCCTGCCCTGCTATCTTGGGAAAATGAGACTCAGTCTCTAACTTGGCCAGCGGGGTAACATTTTGTACATCCCTTGAATTATCCCTGCAGAACGCTACTTCAATGAGGAGAAAAAGCTTGCCGCTTATATACACAACTGCTGGAGCAGGCCTTGTAATTTACCTGTTTGTTGTAAATATTGGCTGCAATCCGTTTTCGCAAGACTAACTCCATCGCAGCCGGGTGGCTGAGTTGGACTGTGGTCTTCACAATTAGGTAAATCCTTTCATTCTGGGGTGTGACCCTGTTCAAGTGAACAGAATCATGCACCGAGGAGTCCCAAGAGGCTATGGCTGAAACCTAGGAGTGGGGGAAGGAGAGAGAGAGGGAGAGAGAGAGAAGGAGAGAGAGAGAGAGAGGGAGAGAGGGGAGACTCAGGTGTGACTGCCTTTTCACATCACAAAACCAGAGGAAAATAGATACATTCAGCTCAGTTTAATTAAATAGAGGGCTTCCCTCACCTTTGCTGAATGACAACACACATGAGTTAGTTTTTTAAAGTGCCCATTCCTCTATCACCAAATCAGACCCCCAAACCCCACTACTGTCAAGTCAATTCAACTTGTGGTGACCCTCTAAGGACCCAATAGAACAGATCCATCAATTCTCCAAGGCTGTAAGTCCTTATGGGAGCAGACTGCCTCATCTCTCTGTCATGGAGTGGCTGGTATTTCAGTTAGTAGTCCAGTGCTTAATCCACTGTAGTTTAATGGAAAGATGGGCTGACCCCGTGGCTGGTGTGTACACTGGAAGACCTATAAGAGAACCTAAGTCTCCCTTTACCTCATCGTCACTGTGCTTTATGATGGGCAGGTAGAAAAACTGGCTTCCATGTTCCTTGGGCAGGATGGAGTTCACACCCGATGCATGGGGCCCAACAAGCTGCTCATTGGCACTGAGGTCATCCGCTAGCCATGTCCAGGGCACAGAAAAAAAAAAGTGGAGGGAAAGTCAGGCTTTAAGCAAACATCAAAACATTTTAAATTTGCTTTTTACAGATAAAGTTTACAGAGAACACATTTTCCTTTCTTTCTTTCATTCCTTCTCCTGCAGTTGAAAAAGACACTCCAAAAATCACAATTGGCCACTATCCTTATAGATACTACTAACAAAACAGTCCATCAATGCCAAGTTGATTCTGATTATTGGAGACGCCATGTGTATCAGAGCTGAATTGTGCTCCGTAGGGTTTTCAATGGCTGTAAGCTTACAGAAGCAGACCTCCAGGCCTTTCTTCCGCAGTACTATGGGGTGAATTTAAATTGCCAACCTTTCCTTTAGCAGTGAAGTACAAAGTCTTTGCAATACCCAGGATCTGATGGGGACCAAAGAGAAGCCTTCATGAATCTACTATAGAATGGGCTGAATATATTCTATATGTAGTCCCAGGAGCAAATATTTCCATGAGATAATCTCAGCTTAGAATGCTGCGAACTTCTGGTGTTAGGTTTGCTGTATTACTTAGATAACTTACACTGTATTAGATATTTTAGCAGTTAAATTACTAATTTAGGATAAAAATTCTAAGCACTTGGGAGAAATTGAAGTTCATCTCATTCCAATGTCCTATCCAATATAGGATTTAGCCTTCTCAAATGAGGAGCCCTGGGGTCCTAAAGGAGGACCTACCAGGAGGCTGCGCACCTCCAAACTGAGCAATTCTGCTTTTATGTTGTTCTTAAGTACCGTGGAGTTGGTTCCGACTCATAGTGACCCTGAACAGGGTTTGCGAGGCTGCAAATCTTTACGGGAGCAGAAAGCCTCATCTTTCTCCATATGGGGTTCCAATTAAGAGTTTATTCTGATAAAGGGTCTTATTACTAAACATATTGAAAATGACTGTTCTAGGTTCACCCAGGTTTGATCTAATTGCTATACTAAATAACTACTCCTTGGTGCTATGGAATTAGTACTGGACTGCAAACCAGAAGGTCAGAAGTTCAAGCCCACCAACTGCTTAAAAATCTTGAAATCCTGAGTTGGAACTGACTCAACTGTACTTAACAACAACAACAATGCAAGGTTATGGTGTTATAAGGTATTCCTGGCATCAAAATGTTTAAGAAGGTTTGGCACACTAGTTATTTGCTGGTTCTGATACCCCTGCCATGTCTAAAGATTTAGAATCTCTGGAGGTTGATTACTTTCCAAATAACCTCTAGGTCCATTAGTGTTTGAGAACAACTGCTCTTTTTGTATGCATTTCCTGATCTCCTTGAGAACTCTCATTTTTTGACAGAAAATCCATGTCACTCTTCCAAGGACTCTATTATATGCTTACATATATATATTTGGACTTAACGTATCACCTAGATATGGCACAGGAGTGATTAGAGAAATGATGTACAGATCAAAATGATGTGGGTTTGAGTAAATTACAAGTCTTAAGGAAAATGGGGTAACATCTAAGACCTTTAAATATTCACTTACCATTCAAATCAAGGAAGAGAACTGGTATGTGGGTTTCCATTCCAGGAGGCGGGATCCTGAATTTAATAACAACATTTAGTCTTAACAAAATACAGGTTTTCTATTGTATTAAATAATCAAACACCACAGAGGCAAGGTGGTCAAAAAGTATCACAGCGAGGCACATGTTATACTAGTGAAATCCTTGAACACTTGTTGACTTCCCTGCTAATACAAACCACAGAAATGATGTGAGCTACAAGACAGACTAGTAAGAAAGTCCTGAAGAGCTTCTGGAAATTATTCAATGGATATCTTAAGGCTCACAACAGAACACTGTTTAACTGGCTTTCTCTGGAGGTGTCATCAGGACGGAGTAGTCCCCCAAAGAGGACGTCATGTTAGATGGAGCAGAGTGTGAGAAAGGACAAGGGAGACTCTTGGTCAGCAAGGACCAGTATAATAGTCACAGAGACAGGCTCTAACATGCCAGTGATCGAGAGCACGACACAGGATCAGCCAAGGTCAACTCCACAGCAGCTACCTATCTCATTAAAAATTTCTATTGATGAGAAAATGGGAAAGGGATGTTGATTGGAACAGGAGATAAGAGTGGCGCCTAGGGAAGCAAACAAAAGGGAGAGTATTTGAAAAGACTGAAGGAGAAGTAAATGAAAAATGTGAAAGGGAGAAAGAATGTGTGCAGGACACAGTAAGGTAGGCTCCAGTCAAACACTGGTCCATCTCTATCAGAGGCACCTTGAAGTGAAGAGGCAGGGCCCCATCCTTTGTCATCCACATGAGAATATAACTAGGACACCACATTTTACAGACATCCAAGATGATCCCAGACAGGTTTTGAAACACCTCAAATAAAAAAGACAGTGGTCAGAAGAACCAGCCTGGAAGGAGGCCTTGAGGAACGAAGCAAGACAACACCACTGGGACAGCTGTCCACAGCAAGCACCCATAGAACCTGGTACAGCAGGCGCACATGCAGACAGCAGTATTGGGTTATAAATTGTGGGCCTGCAAATTCACATTTCCATGTTTATAAAACAAATCATGAAATATAGCTTCACCTTCAGTTAACACTGAAAACAACAATAAAAACCAGTTGCTGTCTTGTCTGTCAGAACAGAACTGTGCTCTATGGAATTTTCAATGCTGTGATTTTTTGGGAAGATCACTAGGCAGGCCTTTCTTGCAAGGAAGACACCCCTGGGTGGATATGAACCACAACTTTCTGGTTGGTAACTGAGTGTTTAATTGCTTGCACCATCCAGAGACTCTTACATTTATCATCACAGACATAAATAATAGCAATTATTTTTCTATGCCTGCCTAAAAGAGACAATGTGTATTATTGTACATTCTATGTATAAAAATCTCATCTCTTAAATAGGAGAAAAAGAAGCAATAAGACCTAGCATTCAATGAATAGGCACTATGTACAATGCTTGTTGTTAAGTGCCATGGAGTTGGTTCTGACCCACAGCGACCCTGTATAGGGTTTCCAAGGAGCAGATGGTGACCTTGAACTGCCAGGTCAGTGCATTAACTAACAGCACCACACCAGGACTCCATGTACAAGGTACCTGTGTACATTATCACTAATCCTCACAAAAGTACCAAAAAGGTAGCTCCATCACTAGATCTAGAAAATAGCTTGCTTAGGAAATACAAGGGATCCTCAAAAATACAGTTAACAGCTGAAACTGGAAATGAAATTCAGATCTATTTCACTCCAGAGCCTATGATACCATACGGCTTCTCATAAGTACACACAGGATTGACTGACTGATTCCTTTTTATGAGAGGCTTTAGTGCTTTCTTAGAGAGCCCTGGGGTGGTGCTGGAGGATAAGCACTGGGTTGCAAGTTCAGCAGTTCAAACCCACCAGCTGCTCTGTGTGAGACACATGAGGCTTTCTGCTCCCGTAAATATTTACATCTTTGGAAACCATATATAGGATTGCTATGAGCCAGAACCAGCTCCATGGCAGGAGATTTGGTTTGGTTTTGGGGCAAGTGTTTCCCCACTCTATGCTAAGTACCAAATGAGATCGAGACTTGGGCAAATAAGAAGATATAGTTTCTGTCCTCTCATGTATACTCTGAAAACCTCCTTCTTTCAAGCCAAAAAAGAAAGATTTTCTGAAGGTGAGAGAACAATGTACAAGTTGCTTCTGCACGCAAGGAGAACGTAGCCCTCGATTCCTGGCCAGGTAAGTGCTCTCCTTTTCCTGTCAGCAGAAACTGGCTACAGGCAGGAGGGAGGACAAGAGCGGGTGCTGTTCCCAGAGCAGTTCATGTGGGCTAGCATTTTCTATGACAATCCTGGAAAGTCACATGAATGCCTCCTACTATAGTTACTCTGGAGTCCTGGTGTGGCATTGTCCAATAAATCACTGGATCACAACGTAGGTTTGAATCACAAGGTCTGGGATTCAGCCTCAACAGCTGCTCCTCTTGGAAACCCCATACAGGGTCTATGAGTCGAAAAGGACTCGAAGCCGCTTAACAACAGCAGTTATTTTGCACCATCCGTGTGGACTGCCTTGAAAGAAGGTGGGACTCACCAGTCGGCGGGTGCCCCGGGGATGCCACTGCCTGGTGCTGGCACCAACACAGCATTCCTCTCCTCAGTCAGCCCCACCCATTGCTCCACGAGCTGGGCTTCCCGTTCCACATCGTCCTCTGTTTTCTCTGCAGAACAAAGTGAGGGATGAGTACCAGGAAGAGAGCAAGAGCCATTTCTTAATTTCAAACCCACAGATTCCCGCTCAGTGAGAGTTGCAGTGGCTTACAAACGCACTGGGTTCCAAAAAAGGAGTTGAGGCTTAGAGTATGAGTATGCAAGTATGCAAGTGAGCTCAGAGAAGCTAACTGGGGGTTTCTGTGTCGGAAGGCAGGGAGAAAGAGCCCTGGGGCAGGAATTAGAAGACAGGCCATTTCACTGAGTCCAAAACTTGGGAAAGGATTCAATAAGTGAATCTTAGTCTCCTCATCTGTTAAGTAGGAATACCTGCCACATCTACTTCATGCTCTTGTTGAAAGAATCAAAATAAATGAATGGATGTGTGCTTTATTAAAAAAAACACAAACAAAAACAACACACCATTTTGTAAAGACAGGATAAAAATATGTCATTTATTCCACTCCTTGGAACCAACTTTATTTTCCTTCAGTCATTACAGAAGGGACTTTACTACTATATGCTGAAATCTGCTTACCCATAATTCAATTCTGAGGCTACCTGTATGTACTCAAAGTGAGTTTTTATTAGCAGGCAGAGCACATATACAATGACACATACACACATATGTTAAGTATGTTGTATGTTGAACCAGGATGTTTCACTAAGGGAGAACTACTGCTATAATACTCATGTTCTGTCTTGGCACACAAATGAATCATAAAGTCAGGATGAAATGCTAAGGATTTTAGAAGCACATTTTTACTCTAGAATGGGATGGGGAAAATTCTTTCTGCCAAACTTTATAACATCACTCGCAGGCCACACAAAAATGTTAACTTAAAAATTAGCCTGCTATATGTGCTCAGACATTTGGTTAACTCACTCCTAATGTGAAGGCTTTGGTAGCGTAGTGGTTATGAGTCAGGCTGCTAACCTCAAGGTCAGCAGTTTGAAACTACCAGCTGTTCTGCAGGAGAAAGATGAGGCTTTCTGCTCCAGTAAAGATTTGCAGCCTCAGAAACCCTATACAGGGTCGCTATGAGTCGGACCCAACTTAATGGCACCTTACACTATAACATAAGCTTTCGAGCTGACTTCTCTGCTCTGAACTTATTTCACCCAGCAGATCTTCTCAGAAACCGCTGTTGAACTCTTTTTTTTCCCAGAAAGCACCGTAACAAGACTTGGTTGTTTGTAAGTGCTGTCAAGTTGGTTCCAACTCAGCAACTCTGTACAGGATTTCCAAGGAGCAGCTGGTGGGTTTGATCCACCAATCTTGTGGTTGGTAGTTTTGTGCTTACCCTACAGCACCATACCAGGCCTTTGTAATGAGACTAAGACAAGTGTACTACTGAGAGAATTTGTCTGCGGACATCTGTTGATCGTAATGACATGTTTAAAATGCTTGATTTGGAATAAACCCCCGCATGCATGAACCAGAACCCTATTAGCAATACTTTGGAATTATCCTCCTGTATAGGTAACAGAACATTGGCCATTTCAACGATCTTCACATGGACAGTTCAGTGACATAAAATATTACACACCTTTTTTATTGCTGACTTTTTTAATCTGTTCATCTAAGTATTCTCGGCGTTTAATGAGGGCATCAGACCACTTCTCTCTCACACAGTTTAAATCTTCTTCCTAGTATGAGAGAGAAAAACCATTTTGGTTATATAGTGCATTTCTTTTCTATGTTTTCAGTTGATTAGGAAACTTTTCATTAAGAAAGGACATTGAACATAGCTGTGTGATTAATATGCAAGAAAGCAAAGAGGTCTCATAGTAATGCATGCTGCTCAGGATCCCATACTCAGAAATCAGAGCCCCTGGTTCTCCAAAAGGATAATTACACTTAAAAGCAAGACAAGCTCAAACGGCACCAGCTACTGGATGATGTTTACGCTGTGTGTGCATCTGAACCGTAGCTATTCATTTCACGGATTTGTGATTCGAAGCAGGACACCATGAACAGAGCCCAAACTATGTCACAGCAAATGAAATGGAACAAGAGGGTCATTTACCAAGTTGAGAGTTCAATGGCCTTGACAACATGTATTATCTGAAGTATATGAATCGGTAGGTAAAGACCCTTTCACACTTGTTGCAAGATTTTACTTCCAACAACTACCACGAAGCTAACCAGAAGCCTCCCAGGCGGAAACCCCACGTGCATTCAGCCATGCTTTAAGACACCCAGAAGCATCTGTTGGACTTCACCGTGAACAAGAAGACAGGAAGCACACAAACAGCCCACAGGACATTAGTAAATGGCGTTACAGAGAACCCAGGGGATGATGAAAAACTGCCCTGGAGTTGGTTTTTGTTTGCTTTCTTTCTCAGTAAGATTATGAAGAAGGAAAGAAAACCCATCAATCTTATTCCAAATGCTCTTTCACTTGCCCGAGTCCAGTCTAACCCGTAAGCCATTACATTCCAAGTTGTGAAGTTGAGTCCAACTCAGAGGGGACCCTGGTGGTACACAGTAGAACTGCTCCATAGGATTTTCATGTCTGCAGTCTTAATGAAGAGGAGCCCTGGTGGTACAGTGGTTAAGCGCTTGGCTGCTATCCACAAAAACCCATCAGTTACTCTCTGTGTGCACGCATGCGTGCGCACACACACAGTGGCAGTCAGCTTCCTGTAATGCTTACAACCTTGGAAATCTCATGGGGCAGTTCTACTCTGTCCAACAGGTTGCACAATGAGTTAGAATCGACTCACCAGCAGTGGGGTTACTTAATCCCACTGGAAACAGTGGTCCCACTGTGGGGCTTGAACCACCAACATTTAGCTAGTAACTGAATACAAACTGTTTGTGCCATTTAGGGACTTTAACATTAAAGAGAGACACGTGTTATATTTGGGGGGCCTCTGAGGCTTTACCAACAATGCACTATAGTTTGCAAATAGGAAGGTACACAGGGAAAGCATCTTTCTAAATCTTGTGTGAAGAGTCAGTGCAAAGACTGGGAACCAAACCCAGAAACCATCGTGGATTGCTGCTTTGACCACTACCACAACCCATAATCCATGACATCAAGTCAGTGAGTCCTGATGAGGTAAAATTTCACATCTGCATATATTTTTGGGGTTTCCATAAAGAAAAGGCTGAGACTTGAATTCTACAAGCCATGGGGAACTAAGTTTGTCCCTAATGACAGAATAAAATGGGGCTATAACAAAAACAAAATGACTAAATGCGTTAAAACGTCTTCAATTTTTTTTTTTTTTAATCTAGAGAAAGTAAACAGATATTAGCAACAAAGTGCAGTTTAGCATAGAAAAGAAAAGAGTGTAGCTAAAGAATCTGGATGGCTAGCTGTGTGACTTTTAAGATCACTGATGGTGATACTGTGATAATGCTTTTGCTTAGCAAACTTTTATAAGCTAGTCATTTGAGATGGCATAGTGGAAATGCAGTAGCTAGCTAGAATTTTTGACAAGACAGGGAAATCTATGGAAACAGGACTGTATCCTGGATTACGCTTAAAGCAAATCAAAAGCCAGTGAAATCTGAGCCATTCTTGCTCCCCTGTCTTTCGTCCTGCCTGGCCTCTGCTTTGTGAATGCTGGCAATTAGCAGTAGTACCCCATGCCACAGGATGGACAGCAGCAGTAATACCTGATAACTATCCATATCATCACCATCCTCATCATCTCTCTGGTAGGAAAAAAATAAACACAAAGGACATGCATTTTTGTTTCTCAGACAGTACACAAGGAAAACAATTATTTAGCTTAACACAAGTTATACTGGGCAGCATACAACATCAGCATCATAAAAACATTTTATTGAATCTCAAAAAGTTTTGCGGATTTAATTCAGTCATCTACAATTCTTTGGAGAATTTAAAGTCTTAATAAAGCAAGCAGTCATTTAAAAAGGACAACTCCACTATTAGGCAATAATGGGCATGTTTTTATGGGTGCGTTATTTGACCTTCATTGGGAATAAGTTTAGGAAGACAAACTAGAAAGAGGTAGAAAAATCTAGATATTCTTTGGTGAACTTCTAGTTTTAGCAATAGGGATCTGAGGCCTGGAAAGATGAAATGGTTTAGCCCAAGGACACACGGATACTGACTGGCAAGGTCAAGGATAGAAGCCAGACCTCTAGTCTCCAATCCCTTCAGTCTCTGAGAGGATCATCATTGTAAAAGTCCCCTGGGAACCTGAGGCATCATCAGGTTCCATGCTCTACTACTGCAATGAAGCACAGCAAGCTATTTTGAACACATGACTCTATCAACATAAATTAGTTGGGAAAATAACCATTCCACACTACACGTCTGTTGTGGTTAGTTGTCACTGAGTTGATTCCAACTCACTTCACTTATTTATTTAGAACCACCATGCTGAAAAAGAAAAGCATTCTAGCTAAGACAGGACCACTGGTGTGGCGCTGTAGGATCAGCACTGAACTGTAAACCACAAGGCCAGCAGTTCAAACCCACCAGCTGCTCACTGGAAACCCTATACAGGGTTGCTATGAGTTGGAACCGACTCAATGGCACTTAATAACAAAAACAGCTAAGACAATTTTTCTTAGACATAGAATTTAGAAATTTAAAGACAAAAACCATTCACACGAAGGCATATTCCACCGTATTTATAGGTAAATAATTCATGTTTTACTGTTTCTTGCAAACTCAGCAACCCTCTTGCACATTAGTTTCCTATATATACTATGTTATATGTGCATGTATGTTGATTTCATGGGTGTGTTATATGTGAAAAAAATATGGTATTCAACATGAATACCGAGTATGTAACCTTCTTTCATTTTCCTATGGTTATTGAATGGAAAAAAAGGGAGTTTGTGAAGTGGCCTAATTATAGCAGAGACACTAAAAATAAAAAAAGTTTTTTAAGGTACTTTAAAAATATAGTTAAAATTATCCTCGTATCTGTGTAGGCTTCCAAATACACTTGGTTTTCTGATAAATGATGGGTCATTATCATTTAAATGACTGTAGCTTATTAAGTAAAAGCCTAATACTGAATTTTCTTAATATTACTATTAATTATTAATGAATATGGAGTCCCACATTAATGACAGACATATCTCTCTATCACTAATTATTACAACAAAGAGCTACTTGTAGTAATCGAAAACTGGCATCAACTCTTAGGATATGAAATGGCTCTGAAATCAGCATGTTTTGGGTTGATCTGAGCAGTTGCATTAAAATTAATTCTAAAATATGATCTCAAAAAATAACTGAACATGACCTTGAGCATGACAGCAAAGGAAAAAAACACCAAAAGCCACCTTTCAAAGAGCTAGAGTTGGATCTGCATGGTTGGTAGCATATTCTTAAAAGAGTAGGGGGCAAAGGGTAAAGGTTAATAATCCAGAGCTCAAAGTTTTAACTCCAAGCGGAGTTGCTGAAATACTCCAAAATTATTACTGAATTCTTCTTATGTTCTTTGAATGGGAGTCGGTCAATTGATGGTCCATAGATTGTAGCTAACGGTTTAGGATGCACAGACTCCTTGTCTATGTCTAGGACCAGAGACTTACTAAGCCATGTAACTGTATTTGAGAAAGAGACTTCAGAAAATTAAGAAGCCCACTTCACCATTTTAGAGAAGAGAAAAGGGAACTAGACATTTCATTTACCCAGTCTGGGGAACCACTTCGGAAAGCCGAACTAGACTTAACAGCCCAAGTCTCTCAACTCTAAGTCTAGGGCTCTTTCTATCAAGTGCTGCAGCTTGTCACCCCAAAAGATGACATTCCCAAAAGACAGACTGATCTGGGATGAGAATACCTAAAAGCCAATATCTTATGTCACATGCTGCAGACACACAAGGAAATGTTTGGTGGGCTAAGTCTCTCCCCCAACAGAACAGCCCCTGTGCTTGCATCCTCATTCTTCTCCACCCTCACTCTTTGAGAGCGAGAGGGGATGGTGGCCCAAGGTAGGTAAGACAGGGTATCATCCAGCTCTGACTGACTTAGAGCCCAAACATCTGCATATGGACTTTTAGCCTTCCTAAAAAGCTTGGCCTGAATGAAGATGAATCATGAGTGACTGCTGAGGCCCAGACTCCACAGAGAACTCAAAGAAGAAAAGTTTCCTCCTTGTAATAACTCTACAGAATAGGAAGGGTTCCTTATCACATGTGGCAGGGAAGGAGCTAGAATGTACCAGTCTGACTCCCTAGGCCCTAGTTCCTATCTGACGGTCGACCGAGGGCATAGTACAGTATACACACCCTTCCAGGTCATGGGAGGGACAAGTTCCTCATTTCGAAATTTACTCTCATGGAGTACTGAAGAGACATGAAGACCAATTGTTAGGGGCTGTACTGTAAATTTTTTTTTAATAAGCTCATATTTAATGGCGATTTAATGAACAAAAATGAACATGAAGTCAACTTTTGATTGCCAAAAAAAATGAAGAAAAATTAGAACCTTCAAAGAGCTCAATAGTTATGCCAGTTTATGCGAGAGCATTTTGATAGTAATAAAAATTGATGAGGCCAGGCGCAAAGTCAAATATCTAACATAATTTGGGCCAGATAAAAAACGAATCCTGCCCAGTGTAAGAGAGTACTATAGCATTAACATGTGTGTTTGTAAATAAAATGATTAAATGCTAAGCAAATAAAGAATTTTAAATTGAGAAAAAAGGTTAACAGATGAAAATATGAATCAGGGGCAGATATATGGTTAAAGAGATCTATTATAGTACCAAATAGGTTTCCATCACAGATTACTAACTGATCTAAAGCTACATCAGCCAATCTTTGTTACGTAAGCTTTTGAATCTGTCTTACCTGGTAACTGTCCAGCCCTCTTTGGAGTTTGGTAGACCTGGCTGTTACACAGCCAATGGATACCGACAGGATGGCTTCGACCATAAGAGGCAGTGTCCCCGAATCCTGTACAGGTTTCACTGTTACTTGAACTCTACGGGAATGACCCTGCAATGGTGAAGGTGGGTGGGGAGTGGGGGCCAGGCCGAGAAAAGGGGAGGTTGGAGATAAAAGGCAAGCATTAAGGAACAAAGAGGCAAATAATTAGGAAATGCCCAGAAGCATGTAGGACTCTGGTAACGTAGTGGTTACAAATCGGGCTGTGAACCGCAAGTCAGCAGTTCGAAACTACCAGTGGTTCTGCGGGAGAAAGATGAGGTGTTCTTAACGCTCCCGTAAAGATTTACAGCCTCGGAAACCCTGTGCAGGGTCACTATGAGTCGGAACCGACTCCACGGCACTTAACAATAACAACAACAACATGTAGGACTGAGCGAAAACATGAAAACAGATAAACACAAATAAACTCGGTACCTGTCTTAGTTGAAAGATGCCTCCTGTGTTGACGTCCTTTCCCTGATGAAGTTCCACTGCAGCATATTCCCCTAACTCGTTGAGTTCTAATATGGAAATCCACATTTCTATTCTGCGAGTCACTTCATTCCACCTGCAAAACCACAATCCAACACCCAACAATGTCATCACCCAGGGACATTACCAGTAGTAGGAAAATGCCACCATGCACTCACCAAGATTCTTTTCTTACTTAATTCTCAAAACAACCCTACGGCATAAGTACTTTTTACTTATTTTATTGAGGTATAATTAACATTCAGTGAGATGGCCCCGTCTCAAGTATGCAGTTGGATGAGTTTTGACAAATGTATATCCCAGTGTAACCTACATCATGACTTTATAGCTTCTGCATATATTGTTCCATACAATATCCTCAACCCCTTGCAGCAGCCATTTAAACTCATAGGTATCTTTGCCTATTCTAGAACTTTACATAAATAAAATCATGCAGTATGTCCTCTTTTGTGTCCAGTGTCTTCCCTTCAGCATAATGTTTCTGAGATTCTTCCAGATGTGTATTAATCGTTCTATTGCTTTTATTGCTGATTAGAATTACATTAGATGAATTCTACAACTGCTTTATCCTGTTAAAGGACATTCGGATTGTTTGTAGTTTTGGGATACAATGAACAAAGTTGTGATGAACGTTTGTGAACACATCTGTCTGTGAACTTCTGCTTTCATTTCTCTTGGCTAATTATTCATGTGTGAGATTGCTGGGTCATAGTAAAGGTAAACAGTCCACTTTCACTCTATGAGAAACTGCCAGTCTTCTCCCAGACTCCGGTTTGCTTATTCATATTCAGAATGGTTCCTTTTACTTACCACAAGCTTTTTTTTTTCAGTCATTTTTTTTTGGCATTTTATTTCTAAAATAATTTATTTTATTTTTGTTAGTGTTAATAATATACACAGTAAAACATATATCAGTTTGACAATTTCTACATTAACTCAGTGACAATGATTACATTCTTAGAGTTGTGCACACATTAGCACTCTTTTCTGAGTACTTTTTCCCTTTAACATAAACTCATTGCCCCCTATATTTCTCATCTAATATTTTGAGTTGCTGTTGTCAATTTGATACTATATAGATAAATCTTAAAAGAGCTCTGTGGTTAAGGGAAATATTCTTTACTAGTTATGCTAAACCATTATTTGGTTTGTTGGAGTCCTGGTGTGGTGCTGTAGGAGAAGGACTGGATTGCACAGTCAGTTTGAATTGCAAGATTGGCAGTTCAAACTTGCCAGTCGCTACTTGTAAGCCCTATACTGGATCACTATGCGTCAGAGCCAACTTGATGACACTTACCATTACTGGTTTAGAGAATAATTTGGGATATTTTTGGTTTGCAGTTTAAAGATGTTCTCAGGATAGTAGTTTAAGGAGTACATGCAGCCTCCATGACTCCAGAAAACCTTGATTCCATGAAAATGTTAAATTCTCTTCTGCAGTCGTCGTTTCTTCCCCCTCACCCCCCTTATCAAGATTCTTCTTTAGAATCTTTCTTTGATCAGAATGTTCATCAATGGTAGCCATACACCATCTAGTTCTACTGATTACAAGGCCAAGGAGACAGCTGTTTATGGAAAGCATTAGCCCCCATTCCATTTCCTCTTCCCATTCCTGACTCATAGATTCCTGGTAGTACAGTGGTTATAGTGTTGTGTTGATAACTGAAAGGTTGGTTTGAACCCACCACTCATGCTATAGAAGTAAAATGAGGCTGTCAACTTCCATAAAGATTTATAGTCTTGGAAACTGTATGGAATAGTTTTACTCTGTCCTATAGGATAAGCATTGGACTGCAAGGTCAGTTTGAAATGCAAGGTCAGCAGTTCAAACTTACCAGCTGCTCCGTGGAAACCCTTACAGGGTTGCTAAGAGCCGGAACTGTCTCAGTGGCACCTAACAACAATGAACAGGGTGCTGTGAGTCAGAATCAATGAGTAGTGCTGACTCTACTTCTTCTGTTGGCTCCAAGCAAATAGAAACCAATTGTTGTACCTTGGGTAGACATTTGTAAGCTTTTAAGACCCCAGCATTATGCAGTGAATTAAGAAATAGGACAGATACACTAAATCTTATATTAGGCTTATTAACTGGGATATCCCATTAAACCATGACCCTACAATTCCAATGAGTCTTGGGTAATTGCGCTGAACTGGAAATCCAATTTTTTTTTAAGAATAGAATTTTCTGTATTTGAGACAGGATTATGATATAACTGCAGAGATTCAAACATGCTAGGTATTCATGATTCTTTTATCATATATTATACCATACATACAATATTCAAATCTCAATGAATTTTCACTTATATAAACACCTATGTGCCACCACCTGTATCAAGATACAGAACATTACCAACACCCTAGAATGTCCCTTCATGTTCTTTTCCTAGTCAAAAACATCCCCTGCCTGCTCCATCCCACACCATCACCAAAGGTAGCCACTATTTTAACACCATGGAATGACTTTTCCTGTTTTTGACTTTCATATAATTGGCATCATGCAGAATATGTTCTTTTGTGTCTGACTTCTTTTGGTCATCATTTTGCCTGTGGGATCTATCCATGTTGCAGGCTGTATCAGTAGTTAATTTCTTCTTATTGATGTATAGCATCACTACAGGAATTTATTTATACATATATATA